TGGCTGTATGAGGCCGTGCATTGTCATGTATGAGAATGAAGTTTCTCCCAAAATCATTGGCATATGGTAACACGACAGGCTCAAGAATTAAATCACGATATGTGATTCCTGTTAGAAACCTCTCAAGAAAAACGAGATCGGTTTTTCGGCCTAACTGGACTCCTCCCCAGACCATAACAGTTCCACCTTGATAAGGGTGCACTTCCTGAACATGATCCAACCGAATAAGATTTCCCGGTTCTCTCCATACCCTAAGCCTTCTCGAATCCGGATGAATTCCAAAGCGTGACTTATCCGTAAAGAGAACATTGGCCCATTGTTCATTCGACCACTCAACATGATCTTGAGCCCACAAATATCGCGAACCTCTCGATTTCCTCTCGTTAAGGGTTGAGCTCTCCAGGGACGTCTGCTTCTTAAGTTGACCTCTCTTAATCTGTTGCGAACAGTGTCAGGACTAACGGTTACATTATGTGTTTCCTGGAGAATTAAACTAAGCTCTGGTGCTTAAGAGTCGGTCAGCGTCGAGCATTTAATTGTAAAAAATGATCTTGCTGAGGGGTAGTAATGCGATGTCGCCTTGTGTGCCTTTCAGCAACATCACCACTTTCACGGTAGCGTGCACTTAATCGCGATATTACACTTTGCGTTGTATTTAATGCTCTAGCTACGTCGATTTGGCGCATTCCAGCTTCAAGCATACCCATGGTCCTTAGCATTTCGTCTCTGTTAAGATGTCTACGCTCCATAATGTCGTTTAATAATAAACAGAGTTATTTGAATGAATTCTGGCCAGTTATCATAAAAACATAGCCAGTACAGGTTAAATTCGAACAATTGATGCTAGGTGCTTTTTATACATTTGACAAAAAATGCACAAACGCTTCTGCAAATATCCCAAATTTAGAAATAACTAGTGTGACTACTTCGTTTCAATCGAAGTAGAAAGAATCGGCCTACAAATATGTGGTTGTTTATTCAAAACATTTATTTTTAACTTTAATAAAATGATATCCCTAGATTTTTCCGGTGTGTGTAGTTTGAAAGAGCATTTAAATCGGCTTCGACTTATTTAAAAAAATACATAGTGTTACATTTGAAATAAAGAAGTTTTTATGTAAAAAAAATATATATAAAATTCACCAGCAATTTTTGATGCCCCTGTATACATTAAAGGAAGCAATACAATTTTTTTAGTAAAGTTTATTTATCTGGCTTCAAAATCAGTACAAGAATTAACTCTAAAAAGTAATGTACAGGGTGTTACCAAACTTTTTATTATAGCATGCATATTTAAATGTCTCAAAAATCAAAGCATTAATTTAAACATATTAAACCCTTATAATAATTGCCTTATTTTATGCTCAAGAATCCAAAATTGAAATAAAATACCGGGTGTTCCATAAGAAAAAAATATAACTTTGATATGGATCTTAGTTCTGACACACCCTGTACCTTTGAAAATAATTTTAAATTATGCACATTGCCTCTCTACATATACCCATAAAAAATTGTTTCTACATCTTTCCGTTTTCGTATAATCAACCGGGGCGAATGAGATGCGCCATGTATATGTACATCTTAACTGGAGAATGAACTATTAAATTATTTAATTACATTACTTAATAACTAACAAATTTAATGTGGGGTTAGGTTCAGCTGAGGCAAGCGTTTATCAAGAAATATATGAGAGTAGAAGCACTGAAGAGTCGTTTGTGGAAGTTGATTTGAAAACAGGAGATGAGTGTTCAGTACAACATGCTATTGTATCCGCTCAGAAGAAAACTTTAAGTATGTATTGAAGATTTCTAACATGTTGACTGCCAAAGCATTTGTTGGGTAACTCTTTCTGGGCGCCACAGTGTGAAAATCGCAATAATTAATCAAAATCTATTAAAAACCATTTTTAATATTTCATGTTACACATAATTTTTTTTTTCATAAACTTGTGTAGATGTTGGATTGGCTACTTTTGTTGGGCGCTGAAGAATCGTTGGTCAAGAACGAGATAACTTGTGGTTGGGGTCTGGGAGTAGGTAACCAACGAGTTAACTCTTGCTTGGCAGTCAACGTGTTAAGCAACAGTTAGAGTATCTAGACATAAATGTATTTTCATATAACATTAATATGATAATTTAAATAAAAATAAAATAAAAAATAATATCTAGTTGTAATATGAAAATGAATATGAATAATAAAATGAATGTAGGTAATTAATTAACAAAGATGCAAACAATTATTGAACGAAAGCTATCAGATTTTTCTTAAGTAAAGATCACTGTCGCTACGTATATGTATGTAAAATTATATTGTGAATGTCATTGATCATACTTTCCTTGTTCGCTTTACACTTTTTTTTCCCGGTTATGATATGATCAAGAAAAAAGTTACCTAATCATTATATTTTTTGAAGAAATATATCATTATGGTATATATCTTCAAAATGATTAAGCAGCCTTTGGACATTGACAGTCAAAGTGTCACAATCTAACAAGCCATTTTGAACCAAGACATCCAATACTACAGAAATTACCATATGACGGAAAAGATGGCTTCCAGTTGGCTTGGAAATGAACATCTATGACATACCCCATATAATTTTACATATAAAGTGACAGCGATCTTCATTTCATAGCCATCGCTGACGCCATTTTTTTATCATATTGTATTATTTACATGTTAATTAAAATATCAGACTAATACTGTCACTGTAACCAGACTATTATTGTCACTGTATTGTATCCTCTCATTGAACAGTCTTCCTAATGCAGTTTTCTGTAAGAATTATTTATCTGCCATCATCCAGGACCTGTTTTATTATAAGATATTTTGTTTACTCTGTATTTTTGAGAAGAAGCTATAGTAGATAACATTTTGAAAACGACAAACAATTATCAATGCTCATATACGTATAATAAGAAATCGAATCAAATTGAAAAAAGACCTTGTCGTTAGTGGGGAAGCTCCTGGTCAGGTGCTGTGGGGAATCCCCCTAGCGCTTGGCTTGGTCTAACAAGCATCTCACTCATCGTCTTGTTCCGGGCTGTAGTGTCGTGGCCAGGGAATTGCACCAAGACATATAACGATGCCGAACGGGGCTACCCCTGTCCGTCATACCAGGAACCCTCTACTGACTGTGGTCATGTCTCGCGGGTAGAAGGTGTGGGGGGGATCTTGGCTTAACCGCCTGGACCAAGAGGAGCAACCTCACCAAAAACCTAAATCCTACGATGGCGTGACCAGGTCAAAGGGATGCTTGGCTAGATAGAGGACTAGCCATTACTGGCCTCAACCTTGGGGCATCATGGGGCACCCCATTATATTTACCCCTTATTTCTACATGCGGGGCTCTGTAGAAATGAACCGACTATCCCTAGCGACTCGTGGGAACACTATGAGATCTAGTACTAAAAACACCACCGGTGAAGCTGTGGGGAAGCCCCCTAACAACACTGGGAACATGCCGTTTCGTCTACCCGGCCTGGGTCAACCAGGCGAGGCGGGCTAGACGATCCTCTGAGAGTAGGTCTTAGCGGAGCAGAAGAACGGAGATACCTCCGACTGCTCCACGAAGGACTTGCTCCGGAGGAAGCAAAAGCGAAAACACTCCTCCGAAAAGGGGATAGTAATGAAACCAAGAAACAACCTGACTCATCTCCATCAAAGGGCAAGAGAGGCAGCGAGAACCTCTCACCTCTTCTCCGGCAGGGAGAGAAAAAAGCCAGGATGGAAAGCCCTCCAATACCGGGAGGCAAGCAGGGAAGTATCACCAGTTTTGCCGCTATTGCTGGACAAGTGAAAATGGCGATGCGCCTGATGCTGCCAAAGGATTTCCCAGAGGTTGTTTTGACCACCGACCCGCAAATATCTCTAGAAGAGGCTATACTGGACGAAGTAGTGGCGATCGGATCGCAACACAACGATCTACAAAATGTGTGTCAGTAGCGTTTTGCGGGGATACACTTTCGGGTGGGCATGATCCTCATAGATTGTGGTGAAAATAGCATCTAAGCTTAAAAATTGGCAGGGGCCGGAACTGGTTGCAGTGAAGGGAGAAAACATCCAAGTGGCGGCCATCACGGTCTTTTTGCCGAGGAGCAAGGGGAAAGACACCACCTACCTGCTGAGCCTTATCCAGGGATCTGAACTTCACAGTAAGGACATCGAGTTGGCGAGTCATCAACTCGAGGGAGGAGGGTCATGGTCAGGTCCTTACAATAGGAATTGACCTCAAATCCAAGGAGGCAATAGAGAAAGAGGGGCATATCCTCTATTATAGATACGGGACAACACCGGTATCAGGTCTAAGGAGAGACCAAGTTAAAGAGGTGGAGAAAATGGAGACAGATCCTCCAGCGTCCACCTCACGGGTACCTCAGCCGGAGGCAAGATCCTCGACTGTGAAGGACACGGAGGGCCAAACTCCAACCGTGGAAGGGTGTGTACCCTTCGAGGAAGAACATCTGTTGTCAGAGGAGGTTGGGAAATATCCTGTCCCCTCTACAACAGAGGTATGATGGGTTAGAGACTGTGTAATGACTCAAGGAAGGGGACACAATAGATCTTTAAGGTCGCAGTGATTAACCTCCCTCTCATTCATTCTACATTCTACATTCATTCATTGTATCATGTATCGTACTGGCTGGCATAACTCGCCTGGTTGACATTATCCATTTGTTAAATAATAAATAACAATTAGTTTAATTGTTATTAATCTATTTTTTGTGCTACTCACTGTGTTAAAGTATTTAAAACAAATATAAACGTCAAAAATGGCTTTCAATATACATAAGTAATTTTCTACATATGGACGGACATGTAGAAAATGTAGACAATTAGTTGGTGTAGAAAATTAAAATTCTTCGTGTAGAAAATACGGTAGAATATGTAAAATTTTCTACCTACCCAACCCTGGTTTTGATAATAAAATATTTTTTTGAGGGGATATTCTTTAGTTTCGAATTAATTGTTAAATTAAGAATTATTTTTTCAATCCTTACCTGTAACTGTAACACTTCCAGTAGAAAATATCTTTAATGTTGCTTTTGGTTGCTGAAGTTTATATGTTACTCCAGGGTGCAGTTCCGGCTCATAACTAAAAAGGTACAAAAAATAAATTAGCAAATATGAATTCATAACTTATATACAGTATAACATTTATACAGTATGTGTTATCAGTATAGTTATAAATAAAGCTTCATTCAGAACCTCTAAGTTAGTGGAATATATTAGTGGTTTCAATAATTATACTTTATACTTAAGAGAAAAGAAAACACTAATTCTAGAATTATTCTAGAATTAGTGTTTGTTCAGTTGTTGTAACACCAAAGATTTCAACCCCCAATTGTAATATACTTAGGAGTTTACAATCATTCACAATGTGTAAAAAAATACAATTAAAATAGATTATCCTAACAACAGCATCTGGTAATAAAAAAAATTCTGACAAATTATGTTATATAAAAAAAAACGCCACGAAAGAGCGGTGAAAGGCTACGAAATTATCAGTTGAACAACATTAAGTGACACTTATTTCCTCAACAGTAAAAGAGGCGGCTCAAAAACTGTAGAAAGTCTTTTAGTAAATGCATGATGCACATCGTGCTGTGGTCGTTTTTCGAAGAAATCAATTTCAATAGTTCTAAGTAAGTTTCTTTGTCCATTCTTAGGTAGTTAAATCAATCCTGTTTTTCATCTTTTAAATCAGTAAGCAAATTGACATAGGAATAATTGTTTCCTTTAAGTAGCCAACATTTTCACATAGAAAAAATGTCTCTTACCGTTTTTCAGAAAAATCCAAAAATGTAACCAAATGACATTTTTCAAAATTTCTTTCAAAATTGGTAATTAATTGGTTTTTATTAATAATTGTTGGTTGGTTGGTAGGTTAGATGGTTGGTTTGGTTGTTTGAAAAAACAGAAATAAACAAAAGATTGATTGTTTGGTTTCACTCTTTTTTAAAGTTAAAAGCAACCAGGGAATCCCTAGGAGATGCAAGACCTTGTTTTTGGGGAAGAAGCTCCTATTCAGGTGCTGGGGAAATCTCCTCTAGCACTTTGGCTCGGTCTAAGAAGCATCTCACTGTCTTGTTCCTGGGTGTAGTGCCGTGGCCAGGGAATTGCACCAAGACATATAACGATGCCGGACGGGGTTATCCTGTCCGTCATACCAGGCACCCTCTATTGTCTGTGTTCATGTCTTGGCTTAACCGCCTGGACCAAGAGGAGTCAACCTCCCCAAAAACCTAAATAGTACGATGGCGGGACCAGGTAAAAGGGATGAGTGACTAAATAAAGATTAGCCTCTACTGGTCTCAACTTTGGGGCATCAGGGGGCACATATAACGATGACATTGTATTCACCCCTTACTTCTACATGCGGGGCTCTGTAGAAGTGGACCCTAGCGACTCGTGGGAACACTAGGAGATCTAGTATTAAAAACACTTCCGGTGAAGCTGTGGGGAAACCCCCTAGCGACACTGGGAGCACTAACAATGAAAGTTCCAAGGGACCAAACCCAAAGGGAACTTCAGACGAGGCGGCTGACACTTGCGCGAGATCATCCTCCACAAGTGGCAACAAGCTACCACCTCCTGTAGCCAGGGTCGGGATCCTCTGCGAGTAAGTCTTAGTGGAGCAGAAACACGGAGATACCTCCGATTGCTCCACGAAGGACTTGAAGAGGAAGCAATAGCGAAAACACTCTTTGGAAAAGGAGAGAGTAAAGGAACCAAGAAACAGCCTGATGCATCTCCACCAAGGGCAAGAGAGGGAGCGAGAACCTTTCACCTCTGCACCGACATGGAGAGAAAAAAGCCAGGATGGAATGCCGTCCAACACCGGGAGGCAAGCAGGGACGTATCACCAGTTTTGTCGTTATTGCCGGACAGGTGAAAATGGCGGTGCTGTCAAAGGATTACCCAGAGGTAGCACTGATCAATGATCAGTAAACGGCTCTAGAGGAGGCGATCGGATTGCAACACAACGATCTACAAAATGTTGATCAGCTGCGTTTTGCAGGGATGCCCTTTCAGGTGGGCATGATCTTCATAGATTGTGTATCTCAAGAATCGGCGGATTGGTTGGTGGAAATCGCACCTAAGCTTGAAAATTGGCAAGGGCGGAGATTGGTTGCAGTGAAAGGAGAAAACATCCGAAAAGGGGCGGCAATCACGGTCTTGGAGCAAAGGGAAAGACACCACCTACCTGCTGAGCCTTATCCAGGCTCGGAACTCCAATGTAAGGACATCGAGTAGGGGAGTCATCAACTCGAGGGAGGCAATAGAAAAAGGATATATCCTCTATTATAGATACGGGACAACACCGGTATAACGGGTCTAGACCAAGTTAAAGGGGCGGAGAAAATGGAGACAGATCCTCCAGCTTTAATGGGTCCTGCTTAGGCTCATTAAACTCCAACTGTGGAAGGGTGTATACCCTCGGAGGAAGAACGTCTGTTGTCAGGGGAATACTCTGTCTCCCCAACAATATGTATGATGGGTTATAGACAGTATGATGAGTTATAACTCAAAAGGAAGGGGAACACAATAGATCTTTAAGATCACAGTAATTAACACCCCCCCCCCCACTCATTCTGCAGTCTACAACCAGGGAATCGCCAAAAAAATACTGATACCAAGGCAATCACAAACTCATTTGTGAACCTGTTGGAGGCTCCACTAGGTCAAAGATACTATAGAGATAAGGATTGTTCGATCCCTATACTTCCTGTACTGTTTCAAGATTTTAGACAGTGGCAGTTATTTATTTGAAAATTCTTGCGTTCTAACGTTTTATTATTGTTCAAAACTATTATTTTGTTATTTTTATGGGTTAATTTAGTAGCAGGGTAAATCTGATTGAGTTGTAAAAGTAAGTTTTTTAATTGCATTAAATATCTTTTTCTTTTCTATTATTTTATTTATTTTATGTAGTAGTAGTTTATTTATATTGAACAGAATATAATTAATTCTATAGGAAAACAAAAAATAAGTCCCTCTATTACTTAACTAATTCCTAAAATCACTCACTAAATGATAGGTAAATTAAATAAAAACTTCTACTTTAGTGTACGATGGTACTTAAAGTACTGTGTGTGCACTCTTTTTCTTATCCATGTATCACAGAGGTTTTATCATTTTGTTTTTTTTTGAAAGTAACAAAAAATATATTCTAATAATTCCATCTAAGTATAACAATTTTAGTACAATAATTAGTAGAAATGTGGTAACATTAATTTGATAAGAGATAGTAATTGTGTGATATATATTTCAAATTAGACTACATAATTAACTACATAATTGCTCTGAAGTATTCATTGCCTTATCTCTTTTTTGCACTTAGAGTATGGTTTTACTTTAATATTGTTTGGAAGGCAGTTAAACACTTTTGGACTAAGACAATAAATATGATTCTGGCAAATGGTATGCTTGGGGTTTTGACGTCTAACGTTGATTTGAGCTACATTTCTTGTGTTACGACCGATGAATTTACGATGAATTCTTTAAAATTGGAATATTTTTTCATGAATCTAATTACTGCTTTAAGGTGTAACTGTCTAATATCTAATAATTGGCTCTCTTTGAAAAGCAATCCAGTAGAGAACCTCTTATTTTTTAAATAACATAAGTTTTATAATATATTTTTGTGCAACTTGTAGTTTGTTTAAAATTGTCACTCCGGCACTACCCCAAACCACCAACCCATAGTTCAAAATTAATTCCACCAGTGCATAATACACCATCTTTAAAGTGCTGAAGCCGAAGACATGGCGCAACTCATAAAATTTATATATTACTTTCCTTATTTTGTTTGTTACATATAGGTAATATGTTCTTTCCAAATAAAGTTTTGATCCACAAGAACACCTAAGTATTTTATATATGTCACTCTTTCAATCAATTTATTGCATACACAATTTAGGTTTAGATCACAGGCATGGTTATGAATTTTTAGGTTCCAGAATTCAGGCAGAGAGCGTGGGGAGAGTGCAAAAGTGACAGATTTTGTTTTGTTGACATTTAAGGATAGTAAGCTATTGTCTAACCATCGTTTGATTTTTTGTATTGCTTTCTCTGTCCGATCCCTTGCACTCTCCCGACGGTCACGTGTCAAGTGGCATTTAAATCCATGTTGCCATATCTAAATTTAGCGGGTACCCAGATTCTCAGATTAATAGAGGCAAATTATTTTCCGCACTTTCCACGAAAAAAAAAAACAAATTAATTATTTTTTATCCACAACTACCCTTTTATATCATAGAATATACCTACTAATACCTAGTCCAGCCCCCAACAGGTTCTGGAATGAGTTTGTGATTGGTTTGGTTTCAGTCTTTTTTGGCGATTCCCTGGTTGTATTAACTTTAAGGCTTGTTGTAGCGTTATGGTATCATATCCCATATCCTGGTACAGTAAATGCTTTGAATGGTGAGTCCAAAGAGGCGTTTACTTACCGTGTATGGCCCTTCGTGATCATAATTAACACATAAAAGATAAAAATATTCAGAGCAATAATTTTTAATAAAATAATTGATGGTATTACATTTGGTTTGGGTTGGTTGGTTTAGTTGATCGAAAAATTTCAGTAGTTCAGGACACTTATTTTCAATTATATGGTGCTCGTGGGACAAAATGCCCTAAAGCTGAATTTTTGGGGATAGCTAGTCATTGTGGTCCAGATTAACATACTAAAAATCCCCGCCCCTCCGAGCGTGCAAACCACCCCTAAAGGTACAATTAAAAACGGCGTATCGGCGTAACGGCGTAACGACCTTGAATCGATTTCCAGTAATTCTATTGGCTGAAATTTTTGACAGATAAAATTTCTGACAGATGAATGTTTCAGCCAATAGAATTACTGGAAATCTATTCAAGGTCATTACGCCGTTACGCCGATACGCCGTTTTTAGGATAGTGTGGCTGCACCCTAATTCAATGGTCCAATGCACACAGAGGCGACGTGGTGCTGACGGCTGCCATCCGGCCCTTGCCACGTCTCCTTCCCGTTACTCGTGGCGTATAGGAACAGGCACGTCCGTTGAACAACACTTGAATTTAATATTCAGTTTTGTGAAGAATTTGAAGCATAACGTCAAATGTTCCACCCGTTTTCCCCTTCTTTAGCCACAGTGGATGAACCCAAAATTGTCTGGTTTTTTTGTACATGCCAAGTACACCAGCCCCAATATATCTTCATCAGAACTTGAACAATCCATGTTCTAATCTAGTCGATAATTACAGTTGTAGCCAAAACTATGACTCTTTTGGAGTTGTAACCAAAACTGTGAACTTCACCTCTCCGTTCCTAACTGACCGAAATTTTTCGTCACTACCCTGTCCCTTCTGTGTGGATTGGCACACGTCACATCTCCGCCGCGTCCGTGTCCCGTCCTTGCCACGTCCTCGTCCACGTCCGTTCAGTGTGAATTGCACCTAACAATTTTTTAATAAAGTTGACCGAATCGGAGATATTCAACAAAAACGAAAAGATTGTTTTATTGATATATTGTATTTATTGATTTCCCTTTAGGGGTGGTTTGCACACTCGGAGGGGTGGGGTCTTTTAGTATGTTAATCTGGACCACAATGACTAACTATCCAGAAAAATTCAGCTTTAGGGTATTTTGTTCCACGAGGCACCTTAATAGTCCTGGACTACAGTCAATAGAATTGCTGGATCTGCTTTTCCTACGATGGTATGGATGCGCCCTCAATTTTCTTTATTTATTTTGTTAAGTAATGTTTGTCAGTAAAATTTTGGACATTTTTCTATCCCCAATCAAGTGTGGCTTTTAAACAATAATATAATGAAAATATAATGAAATTATTACTTTATAAAAGGGCTTAAATTAAGAAAAATTCAATGTTTAAATAAATTTTCGTTTTTCTGAAAAAACGTTAAGAGACCACCAAAAAAATTCAGATTCGTAATCTTCAACCTCAAAATTGGATGTGTATAAATTTTTGTGAAAATCGGACAATTTCCAGTTTTTCCAATAATTACCAAAATTTTTATGACAAAAAAACGACGATTTCCAGTGTTTCCAATAATTACCATATTGATATAATATCTATATCCATATTAATATCTCATTAAATTGTTTTGAATATATTTTAAAATTATTTATTAAATATAAAAAGTACATTTTCGATGGTCTAGTATGCAAATGTTGTAAGTGCATTTTCCAGCAAACAAATAATTTAGGCAAATTTTTTTCTTATGCACACCAATGGAAAGTAAACTATGCAAATTTGTTGGTGCCAGAGCTATCTTCCATTTGGTGTACTTAAGTATAATCAAGAACGTGTATTTTGACAAACTTATTATCTTTAAATGCATATGATTCAAAACATATATTTTTGTACTTACATTTGTGAACCAGACCATCAAATAAACATTTATTTCAACAAAATTATAGTCACTTATCAACTCTCAAGTTTTATCAACTTAAAGCCCAGTTCTCAGAACTATGATTACCAGCAACAAAACGGGGTTCTGAGGATGCATCCACACTGGCGTCACAGGACTTGAAAGACACAGAGCTTAAACATACCCATTCTCAGAACAATATTGTGTCACTGGCTACACTGGTTGACACTTCAAGGAACCAATAAGAGGTGTATTAAATTTATAATTTATAATTTTATTACAACTGACGAAATTCTGAGAACGAGGCTAGAAATAGTCTGTATTATAATAAACATAACAGTATATTTGTATTCAGACCAGAATATATCACTTATAGAGATTTAAAAAGAGATTCTATTCAGTACTTACTCAGCTTCTCGATGTCTTTCCGAGAATGAATTTATTCTTATGGCAAAAGGCATAGAACATGTACCTAAGACATTAACCACTCTATAATTATTAAATTTCACATTAAAGCCTAGTTTTTGTAGACATCTTGCAAATTTTCGTGCTGCTTGTTTTGCAGCTTCTTCACTAGTTGCTCCTGTACATGTCACTTTGCCTGATGACCAAATACTTGCAGTAGTATATGGACGACGAAGTTTCATTGTTATCATTCCATTTTCTTTACGATATTCAACGTTCATTCCATTCAACGCAATTTCACGAAGGTTCAAGTGACACCGAACACTAAAACTACACACTACATTATTAATAACAATATCTATTTCTGGTTCAGATTGGCTTGTCTCAAAATGCTCTTCAGTTAATAAATCATTTGTAGATTCTTCTTTAATATCTATAGAGTCATATTTGGTTGAATTAGTAAATGACTCGTCCTTTATTTCTGATGGTTTATATTCAGTCTTTGGAATCATGTCATAATTATTAAAACTCTGCATTGAGTGATGGCTAACTGAGTGATGTGCTATTCCATTGCCATTACTAAGAGTTTTTATACTGTTCTTTTGAATTGCTGTCGCCATACTACATCAAGATAAAGTTTGACTATTTCTATCAGCGTAGTCTGAAAAACAAAGAGCACATATTAATATTTCATCGACGAGAATCTATTTACTTCTTATAAAAGCATTTCTATAAGATTCCGGTAATAGTAAGTTTAAGGGAGTAGGACCTTAATTTTGACACATGTATAAAAAGCTCACCTTCTTAAGCACTTTATAATATACAAATTTAATATAGGAAATTGATTTAATAAAAATTATTTTCAATCACTATATTATTTTAAAGTCTAAGAAATCATGGTTCAAAATATTATATGAATAAAATTTATAACTATTCAGAAAAAAATTGAATAAGAAATGACAAATGACAATAGTGACATGACTGACAATCTGACAAATACCGACATGTGACATGCGATACTAATGACACTCAGTGTTGCCAATACAGTTTTTAAATATCTATGACGGCTATGACCTATGTGCAGGGTTCGGAAAATTACACGTTACTTTTAAAAACTACATAAACTACATTACATGTAGTTAATGTAGTTTATGTAGAGGGTGTAGTTTATGTAACCTATGTATGTAACTTTCAAATGTCAAAGGTTTGAGGTGAGGTTATAATAAGTTGAAGCTTTAAAAACACATAATGTATTTAAGAAAACAGAAAAAATATGGCTTTAAATATAATATTTACATCATATTATCTCTATTACACCTCATACAAATGAAAATTATTCATAATATCAATACATAGTTTATTAACGTAGTTTTCATGTAGTTAATGAACAGGAAAAGACGTAGTTTTTGAAGAAAAACTACACGTAGTTAATCAGGTAAATTACGTCTTAATTAACTACTTCCGAACCCTGCTGAGTGCTAGTTTACTTACCCGAAGCTGCTCTGAGGGTGCAGCCACACTATCCTAAAAACGGCGTATCGGCGTAACGGCGTAATGACCTTGAATAGATTTCCAGTAATTCTATTGGCTGAAACATTCATCTGTCAGAAATTTTATCTGTCAAATTCATCTATCAAAAATTTCAGCCAATAGAATTACTGGAAATCGATTCAAGGTCGTTACGCCGTTACGCCGATACGCCGTTTTTAGGATAGTGTGGCTGCACCCTAAGGAAGGAGCATAATGCTATCCATGTATTCATGCATGGTGGGCGGAAAAAGCGCCATAAAAGCACTCTAGGGTGGGGATCCTTGTCAGTTCTGTTTAACGATTCATTTGACAGTTTGACACATTTCAATTTGATTTGAAATTTTGTGGATTTGTCAGTCTTTACGGAGCTTATTTTAAGTAATTTATTATTTATTCTACTACTGATAGTTGTATAAAGGTAGTAAATCTAGATGGAAATTGTGGCAGCACTTAAATTAATAGTGACACTATTGCGATTTATCGAAAAAGACTCTAAAATAGTTGGTTGTGTAGCGTGCGGTAGATCTCGGCAAAAATTGAGTGAAATAATGGAACAACTTTTCGCTAGTAAGTGACTATATAATATACATACGTGTAGTAAACCGATCATTTATGAAATTCACTTAAAATTAACTTTAAATTATATATTTTTCTTGCATTTTAGCTTTTTATTTATTACTTGTCAAAGATTAGATGTCAAAGAATTTAGATACGTTAATTTGACTTACCTGCTTCAGTAGCGTATCGGATGTTTGTGGTAATAAATACCTATTATAACTTATCTATTTTTATTAGAATTATATATTTTTATAACAATTTTAATAACTACCAACATTTATTCACAACGTAAAATAAAACAACAAATTATTGAGTCTACCCCACGTCTACCCTACATCATAGTTTTAAATTTTTTAAATAAAATTAGAACGACACTGATAAACCGGAATTTAAGTCGGCCATATTTGAGGCCCATCGCGGTGTACCTAAGATTTTTGATATGCTCCTTCCTTAGTCTTCTTATTCAAAGTTCGGCTGCATAGGATGCAGCCACACTATCCTAAAAACGGCGTATCGGCGTAACGGCGTATCGGCGTAACGGCGTAACGACCTTGAATCGATTTCCAGTAATTCTATTGGCTGAAATATTTGACAGATGAATTTGACAGATAAAATTTCTGACAGATGAATTTTTCAGCCAATAGAATTACTGGAAATCCATTCAAGGTCATTACGCCGTTACGCCGATACGCCGTTTTTAGGATAGTGTGGCTGCACCCTCAGAGCAGCTTCGGGTAAGTAAACTAGCACTCAGCAGGGTTCGGAAGTAGTTAATTAAGACGTAATTTACCTGATTAACTACGTGTAGTTTTTCTTCAAAAACTACGTCTTTTCCTGTTCATTAACTACATGAAAACTACGTTAATAAACTATGTATTGATATTATGAATAATTTTCATTTGTATGAGGTGTAATAGAGATAATATGATGTAAATATTATATTTAAAGCCATATTTTTTCTGTTTTCTTAAATACATTATGTGTTTTTAAAGCTTCAACTTATTATAACCTCACCTCAAACCCCTTTGATATTTGAAAGTTACCTACATAGGTTACATAAACTACACCCTCTACATAAACTACATTAACTATATGTAATGTAGTTTATGTAGTTTTTAAAAGTAACATGTAGTTTTCCGAACCAAAAAAAAACACTCAGTCAGTCTCAATAATGCAATAATTTTGGAACCGTCATGTCATACATGGTCGGTTCTGTCTAGTTCGCTCCAGCACTGTGCAAGTGCAACCCTTTGAGCAGTTGCTCGCCCTGAGAGCATTTCATAGAGCATTTGAGTAGAACCGGTGCAGCCCAGTCGAAATCATCATTATGGCGATTTCGACTGGCTGCACTAAGCCGCACTCAATGCGAACTCGAACAGAATTACAATTTCGACTGGTAGCAAGAGCAATGTAAAATTGTGTTCGTCTCGCGTCGCACTGACCCGGTGCGGATTGTTTTTTTGTTCGGCTGCATATCAGAGCAGCTTCGTAAACTAGCACTAGCACCAGGGTTCGGAAGTAGTTAATTAAGACGTAATTTACCTGATTAACTACGTGTAGTTTTTCTTCAAAAACTACGTCTTTTCCTGTTCATTAACTACATGAAAACTACGTTAATAAACTATGTATTGATATTATGAATAATTTTCATTTGTATGAGGTGTAATAGAGATAATATGATGTAAATATTATATTTAAAGCCATATTTTTTTCTGTTTTCTTAAATACATTATGTGTTTTTAAAGCTTCAACTTATTATAACCTCACCTCAAACCCCTTTGATATTTGAAAGTTACCTACATAGGTTACATAAACTACACCCTCTACATAAACTACATTAACTATATGTAATGTAGTTTATGTAGTTTTTAAAAGTAACATGTAGTTTTCCGAACCAAAAAAAAAACACTCAGTCAGTCTCAATAATGCAATAATTTTGGAACCGTCATGTCATACATGGTCGGTTCTGTCTAGTTCGCTCCAGCACTGTGCAAGTGCAACCCTTTGAGCAGTTGCTCGCCCTGAGAGCATTTCATAGAGCATTTGAGTAGAACCGGTGCAGCCCAGTCGAGAAATCATCATTATGGCGATTTCGACTGGCTGCACTAAGCCGCACTCAATGCGAACTCGAACAGAATTACAATTTCGACTGGTAGCAAGAGCAATGTAAAATTGTGTTCGTCTCGCGTCGCACTGACCCGGTGCGGATTGTTTTTTTGTTCGGCTGCATATCAGAGCAGCTTCGTAAACTAGCACTAGCACTCAGTGCAATAATTTTGGAACCGTCATACATGGTCGGATCCGTCGGATCTGTCCAGTTCGCTCCAGCGGCTCCAGCAACTCTTTGAACATTCGAATAGAACCGGTGCAGCCCAGTCGAAATCGTCATTAGTTTACGTTTTAATATAGTTTTAATAAATATGTTGTATCGTCTAGGTACAAGCTAATTGCTGATGCTACGCCATTGGAGAATTTCGCTTGGTGATAAGTGGCCTCATTTTAGCTGCCGTATTACCTGTCGCCAGCCTGTCGCATAGACAAGGAAAGAGAGGGGACAGGCAGGTATGGAGGGCTTGAGGGGCCTTTTAGACTCCATACAGGCAGGGTTCGGAAAACTACATGTTACTTTTAAAAACTACATAAACTACATTACATGTAGTTAATGTAGTTTATGTAGAGGATGTATGTTTATGTAACCTATGTATGTAACTTTCAAATACCAAAGGTTTGAGGTGAGGTTATCATAAGTTGAAGCTTTAAAAACACATAATGTATTTAAGAAAACAGAAGAAATATGGCTTTAAATATAATATTTACATCATATTATCTCTATTACACCTTATACAAAGGAAAATTATTCATAATATCAATACATAGTTTATTAACGTAGTTTTCATGTAGTTAATGAACGGGAAAAGACGTAGTTTTTGAAGAAAAACTACACGTATTTAATCAGTTAAATTACGTCTTACTTAACTACTTCCAAACCCTTGGACAAGTACGGCAGCTGAAAGTGAGGCCACTTGTCACCACTCGAAATTCTCCAATGGCGTAGCATCAGAAATTAGCTTGTACCTAGACGATAAAAAATATTTATTAAAACGTTAACTAATATATCGTTTATTTTTGATTAATGCATATTCAATTTTGTATTTTATAGTCTCACCTTTATAATAGGTACTAGAATATCTAAGCAGATAATGCAAAATTTATTTAACAGTCACAGTGAACTGATCATCAAGACAATTATTTATTTATTAACGTGTGTATAATGTATAATTAAATAAAAAATAATGTAAATATATATGTTTTAAACGTGTATATACATATATACCGTATGATCGAAAAACAACGGCATCCTGTTTGTTTGGAAATGACGATCGATGACATTCCCCATATAATTCTACATATAAATTGACATAAAAACTATATAAAATGACATCGAAAAAAGACTGAGAGAAATGTCATCGACAGTCATTTACAAGCCAACTGTACGCCGTTTTTTTCCGATCATACGGTATAATAATGAATCTAGCCAATCCCTTCACACTTGCCTACGGATTCAATGAATAATGTAATTCTTAATATTTGTTACCTTCGATCATAAGAATATCCTAATTTTCCGCAAAAAAATAAACAATTATTCTAGAAGCTTTGTGTTATTTTATTTATTTATTTTTAAATTTTTATTAATTACTCATTGAATCTATTGTTATACACCTAAACTAGCAAATTTTTTGAAAGGATATTTAAAAAAATATTGTAACAAGTAGCCCACCACAAGTTTGTCCACCCTCATGGTCCACCCCCAGCAAATCTTGCAGGTAAATTTAAGTTTTATGTAACAACTATACATATAGATTTTTTATAACCACAATTTTTCATGTTTTTTTATAGTTTACAATTATTAT